GAAAGGTACAGGGAAGAAAGCCACAGCGAACTATTGAACAAGTGTAAGCTTCGCTACCCGAACCTTAAGAGTACTGACCACACTTACGGACTGATGGAGAAGCCACTGCGCCGTCAATTTGAGGTTTGGCGGGGAATGGAGACACCGTAGACACGGAAAGTAGTGGAAAGAGGTACTCAGGCCCTCAGGGCAGTGCTCCACCAATAGTGGGTCTCTCTTAGAAAGGATCCTATAGCGTGCATGTGGTCTGCACGAGTGGCGAGTTTGAGCATAGTTTCACTATTAAAAGCTTTGTGTTCCACCTGCGACCTCTTTCCGAGCTGAGCATCCAACCACCACACCTTGTGCTCCACTTGCCACCACGAAGCCCATAATAATGCGGTAGGCTCTACCTGCCGCCTCTTTTCACTACTCTCCCTGCCAAGTGCTCCGGCCTTTCAGGAAATCCATTTTTTCAACCTGTAACCTTACTGTTATATGTGTAGGGACATCCTTGGGACCCCTCCACGAAATTGAATTGTGGCAATGGCCTACGAGGGGTACACAGCCTGCCACAGCGGGCTGCATTCTGGCGAATGAGTTTTAGTTTATCTTACTGGAGCTCTGTTGCCAACAGCCACTCAAACCACCGTTTTGGACATGACGAAGGAAAGTGGCCACGCGGGCAACTGCTGAACTGAGGCCCTAAACCTCTGTCAGGTGCCTGCTCTCTGGGTTGCAGATGTGCCCAAAATAGAAATACGTGCAGAAAGACAAACCCAATTTAGGCCAAGAGCAGCCTTTAGGCCGCACACACTCTAGTCCAAGTATAAATGGAGAGGTCTATATAAGAGCGGCTATCTCAAGAGCGTCAGTGCACATACATATGCACACACCAACACTACCACACGCATGTACACACACACACACATCGTCACACACACACACACACACACACACACACACACACACACACACACACACACACACACACACACACACACACACACACACACACACACACAC